GAATTAGTAGGCACATAGATGAACAAAACCTATTGAGGCAGACTCAACATGGGTTCTGTAAGGGAAGATCTTGTCTCACTAACCTGTTAATGTTCTTTGAGGGGGTGAACAAACATGTGGACAAGGGGGATCCAATAGATATTGTTTACCTTGACTTCCAGAAAGCTTTTGATAAAGTTCCTCATCAAAGGCTCCTAAGCAAGCTCAAAAATCATGGGATAAAAGGACAAGTCCTTTTATGGATCAAAAACTGGCTAATTAATAGAAAACAGAGAGTGAGTATAAATGGGCAGTTCTCCCAGTGGAGGGGTGTAAGCAGTGGGGTACCACAGGGATCAGTACTTGGTCCACTGCTTTTTAACTTGTTCATTAATGATTTGGAGTTGGGAGTAAGCAGTGAAGTGGCTAAATTTGCGGATGATACGAAGTTGTTCAGGGTGGTGAAAACCAGTGAGGATTGTGAGGCACTCCAAAGGGATCTGTCAAAGTTGGGCGAGTGGGCGTCAACATGGCAAATGGGGTTCAATGTGGCCAAGTGCAAGGTGATGCACATTGGAGCCAAAAATCCTAACTATAAATACACGTTGATGGGGTCTGAACTGGCAGAGACTGATCAAGAGAGAGATCTTGGAGTTGTAGTAGATAACTCACTGAAAATGTCGAGACAGTGTGTGACTGCAATAAAGAAGGCCAATGCTATGCTGGGGATTATTAGGAAGGGTATTGTAAACAGATCAGCCAATATCATAATGCCGCTATATAAATCAATGGTGCGACCTCATCTGGAATACTGTGTGCAATTCTGGTCACCACACCTTAAAAAGGATATTATAGCTTTGGGAAAAGTGCAGAAAAGGGCAACTCGAATGATAAAGGGGTTGGAACACTTTCCCTATGAGGAACGGTTAAGGCGCTTAGGGCTCTTTAGCTTGGAGAAACGACGACTGAGGGGTGACATGATTGAGGTTTATAAGATTATGCATGGGAAAGAGCAGGTAGAGAAAGAGGTACTTTTCTCCCTTTCTCACAATACAAGAACTCGTGGGCACTCCATGAAATTGCTGAGCGGTCGGGTTATAACGGATTAAAGGAAGTACTTCTTCACCCAAAGAGTGATTAACACTTGGAATTCACTGCCACAGGAAGTGGTGGCGGCTACAAGCATGGACGGCTTCAAAAGGGAATTAGATAAGCATATGGAGCAGAGGTCCATCAGTGGCTATTAGCCACAATGTATAGATACGGACTCTGGGGCAAGTGATGCTTTGTCATCTTGGTGCTTGGGGGAGGGGGTCAACAGTGGGAGGGCTTCTAATGTCCTGGCCCCACTGGTGGACCTCCTGATGGCACTGGTATTTCTGGCCACTGTGTGATACAGAGTATTGGGCTGGATGGGCCTTTGGCCTGATCCAGCATTGGCATCTCTTATGTTCTTATGTTCTTACTAACACAGGGAGACGGGGGGAGGGGCTGTGTGGGTTCTCTGTTGCTGGTGCAGCTGTGGATATAGTATAGTGGTGACAGGGCTTCCATGGGGCAGGTTTCTTGCAGTTTCCCTGCTCCAGTCCCCCAGCAGTGGAAACCTCCCCCTCCTTTGACCTACTGGGGCTTTTGCAAAAATTTTTTACAAAAATCAGCAATAGGTGTAATAGGTTCTGTGAATTCCCAGCTTTCATTTTAAAATAAGTCTTTTTAAATATGAAGTCTTCTGTTGCAAAGATATGCCTTTCCCTTTATATCTCCACTAGGAAAGGGACTAGAGATGCTTTTTAAAAAGTGAATGCTGAGAATTCAGAGAATCTGTTACATATGTTATTACAGTGGTATAGCCATATAATTATATTCTAGTGCTGATTGTTATAAACATAAAAAGGCTCCTCCTCGGGGGCAGGGGAGGAACTTGCTGCCATGATGACAGGGTCAGGGAAAATGTCTTCGATGTGTATGAGGAAATCCAAATTTTCCACTAAGAGGGCAGAGTTTTGCCTCAGGTCATATTTCACTCCCACCTGCCAGTTATCTGTGGAGTGAAAATGTATAAATTTATCCCAAATGTAATGCTGAAATGTCAGAGAAACCTTAATATAAGACAATCTTCTGGGCCACAAATGTGATGCGCTGAAGAAGCCTTGGACCTTTTGGACAATTCTAGACAGGCAGCCATTTCAGTCTTATAGTGGCACTGGACTTTCCTAAGCACTTTGAACACTGGAAGACCCATTATAAACACTAAGTACAGATATACTCCTGCAAACAACTGTGAGCACTTATTATCATCAACTGTATGGGGATATAGTTGATTACAAGATGCAGCAAGGAATCAAGCCAGACCTCCTCTGCCACCAGAGGTAGGAAAGAGAACACCGACCTAAGTGAACGCCCATGCAACATTTCTTTGTGTTCAATGGGAAATTTGTCTTCCGTATCCTGGGGAAAGTTGCAATGCCATGCACACCCACGTGGGAGCAAGTCCCAATGAACACAGTGGGGCTTCCCTCTGAGCAAAGAGGCATAGGCTCAGACTGCTGTTGGCTTATTAGTTTTCTCTAATTCTTATAGGACAAATCAATGATTGGTGAACTCTGGCCCAGACTCCTGAAAGGCGCAATGTGATTCCTACTTAGTGTAGCTGCCAATCCAGAGGAGGGAAGGTTTTATGGAGGAAAAGGGAGACCTGGGCCCGGAAATTCGGTAGCAGCCCATTGGGCTTGGGAGTAGGACTGAGTCCCGGTCCATCACTCTTTCTTCCGTCTTCTCATGAATCCTGTTGCTGACCAGAGACCTATCGCATGAACTGCATCATGAGAATTACATACCAGACTGCGCAGTCCTCCAGGGAGTTACACCCTTCTGAGCCGGCAGTCCTCAAACAAAGAAACTTCAAGGATTCTAATTTACCCTCATATGCCATTAAAGGTTTTTTGAATTTGAAACTTCAAGGGGAGATTTCAACGTGAGATTGCTGAACTAGGTTTCATTCACAAGTTCAGAACAATGGACTCTCAAGGCTGAATAGGGACACAGGATTCTTATCTCACTACAAATGCTAATTTTCTGCCCACAGGAATTTCCCCTCTGCTCTAATCAATTACAAGGGAGCTTTGACTCTTGAAAGCTTGTACCCCCAAAAGTTTTTTTAAGTCTCCAAGGCACCACTGGACTCGAATCCTACTACAGACCCACACGGCTACCCTCTGAAATTACCTTCTGAAGCCGGTTGACTTCAACAGACTTGGAAGAGTGAAACTCTGCTTAGAAAGGAACATTTCCTCTCCTTCTAAAACCCACACCGATGGAAAGCACCAAGCTTTCATGATCTGCATCAATCCCCCCAGCTAGAAGCAGATTCTCTTTCCCCACGTTGCAAACCCAGGTTACGTGCCTCTGCTGGGAGGAAATTTCGTGCTGAGGGTCTGCAGGCAGGGAGAGCTGACAGGCATCAAGGCGGGTTGTTGCTCTGTTGGAGGGAGTGGGTGGGTGGGTGGGGTTGGGCAGTGATTGATGGGGGAAAATGCATGCAAGTGATTTTGAAAACCGGGGGACTGGCTTCATTTGCTGGGATTTAAGCGCATACAGCAAGTGGATGCTCCAGCCATAGATTCCTGCCATCGGCACGGCACGGCAGTGCGTGGACTGTTAAGCTGAGCCACCAGGAGTCCAACCGACCCTTTTCCAGTTTGCAAGGTAAAGATCGTTTTAAGAAAACGGGGTGCTTTTTTTAAGACAGAGAAACCCACAAAGTCTCTTCTTTCAATTTTAATGTATCTCTGCAGTTCCACCGATTTCAATCAAATATGTGACTCAGAAGCAGGTCTCACCGAAATCAGTGGGGCCTCAGACTTGCGTGGAGAGCCAAAGTGATCTATTCCTGAACACAATGTGAGGAAAATAAATCTCAGCCAGGAAACTCTGGGAGAGCAAAGGATAATGTTCTGCAAAGACATCTCTGTCACTCCAGTTTCTGAAATATTCCATCGTTTTTTGCCAAGTGCAATCAGGAACTGCGAGCAGAGAAATCTATGGGTATTTATTTAAGTAACCATCGCGGCAGATTTTCGCCCCGAGGCAGATTTTTGCAGGGGTCATCCCACAACTATCTCAGAGCTTTGTTATTCGGGCTTATTTTCCCTCTCATTGACCTGTGGGACACTTCCACCGGCACACGAAACGCATTTTCGGCGCAATCATGTCCATGAAAGAAGAGCAATTAAAACACTGAGCACATTAGGTAGCCAACACAGCGTTCAATGCTCATACAGTCTGTGACATTCTTTGTCAGAGGGAGGGGAGGAATCTGTCCACGGATCCGTCACACGTGGTTTTCTCTGCTTGCTAAAGCTGCTCTGGTCCCCTTGTTTTAATAACGGGAAAGTAATGATCGGTGCATTTACTCACAAGCAAACCTCTTGGACCGTGTTTCTAAACGGCCATCTCTCGTCACCGAAGGCTGCTGCCCGGCTAAGCCACTAGTTATGGTGTTGCTGTTATTTTTTTAAATCTAAATGAGTAAGGCTACATGCTTTCCTTTGCAAAGCCTTTACCGAATGGCTTGATGTGAACAGGGGCATGCTTTGCTGGCAGAGATTTCCAGAGACGCCGCTCGCGGTTTCCTTTAATCTGCTCTTTCGGTCCTCCTTCCCACCTTTCTCTGGAGCTAGCAGATGGAGGCTGGAGCGCGGGGCCATGGCCGAGAGCGAGCGGAATTGTCCCCGACTGGCACGTCGCCAGGGCAAGCCGCCAAGGCGGCCGTAAACGAGCCCCGGAGCTGGGCAGGGTTTCCCCCCTCGCTTTGGCCGGAGTCTCCTTCCCTCCGCCCTCTTTCGGCGCTTTCAGACGGCGCGCAACGCGGGCTCCCCAGACGCCGCGGCTCCCTGGCTCCGGGCGGGCGCACGTGCTTTGGCCGGGGAGGTCGCCTGATCGCGGGTCTCTCTGTCGGCTTTTCTCCCCCTAGAGCGAAGGCGGCCTGCTTCTTCGACGGGCGGCCACCATGGGCGGGCGCAGCCTCGGCGCGCTCTGGAGCCTGGCGGTGTTGCTGAGCTGCAGCGGCGCCGTGGAACGGAGCGCCCCTCCGCCCCACCTGGAAGGGGCGCTGCAGCCGAGCCTCGCCCCCCCGGGGACCACCGCCGCCCCGGCCACTGGAGGCCTGGAGCGACGGGGCGCCAATCTGTCGCGCCCGGGTGCGCCCGGCTCGGCCCTTTCCCGCCCGTACCCGATGTGCCCCCGCCGGCCGGAGATCAAGGAGTCGTTCAAGTACGTCAACACGCTGGTGGCCTGCGTGGTCTTCGGGCTGGGCATCATCGGCAACTCCACGCTGCTGGGGATCATCTACAAGAACAAGTGCATGAGGAACGGGCCCAACATCCTCATCGCCAGCCTGGCCCTGGGGGACCTCCTCCACATCCTCATCGATATCCCCATCAACTTGTACAGGGTGAGTAAGTGGCTGGCGTTGACACTCCCCCCCCAGGGGTCCCTGTCCCTTGATGCTGGGGATAGTTTTTGAGCTATGTCAGTGGAAGGGAGAATCAAGGGATGCATTCCTCTGAACATGTGCAGAGGGCTTTGCTGCAGTCCTCTGGCACGACTGGTCCGTCCAGACGGCGTATTTTGGCCCTTACAATTTTATCCCGGTCTTTCTCAAAGAAGTTCAGAGTGGCCAGTGTGGTTCCATGTTCCCCATTTAAATCTTGACAGCCTTCTTGAGATAGGTTAGGGTGAGAGAGAGAGAGTGACTGGCCAAAGATCACCCAGCATGCTTCCCAGATTTAGTCCAACCACACTGATTCTTGTTTGTATGTTTGTTTTTTAATATACTCCATTTATACCCTACTTTTCTCCCCAATGGGGACTTGATGTTTCGTCCAACATTCTTCCCTCTTCTATTTTATCTTCGCAACAACCTTGTGAGCCCTGACCTGGATAGCCCAGGATAGCCCGATCCTGTCACATCTCGGAAGCTAAGCAGGGTCAGTCTTGGCTAGTGTTTGAACGGGAGGCCTCCAAGGAAGAGCAGGGTCGTGACGCAGAGGTAGGCAATGGCGAACCACCTCTGAAACGGCTCTTGCTTTAAAACCAAGTCTAGCTCGCCACCTAGTGGTGCATAACGATAAAAGAGATAGAACTTTTGGCTGCCAGACAGTATTGGGATCTCCTGGCTATTCTACACAATGCCAGACGATGATAATAGCAACAGCCCTGTGAGGTGGGTTACGCTAAGAGTGTGCGACTGCCTCAAGGTCACCTTGCAAGCTTCCGTGGCAGAGTGCAGATTTGATCCTGGGTCTCCCCAAACCTAGTTCGACACTGTAACCATGCTGCCACACTGATTTAGAGGGGCAGCACTTCTCAGTCAAGAAACTGGGTTTCCACACAGGTTTGAGCCCTTTTTCAAAAGAAAAGAAGACGCGTAAGCCCTTCAAAGACACCCTGTTGTCACACAGAGAACCAAAGACTGTCCACAGTACCTACATGGAACTGGAAGGTTAGAAAAACAGAGTGACTTGAAAGGAAAATGAACAGGGAAGAGCTACTGATTAAACCTGCCCAGTGATAGATATCCTCTGTCCTGAAAACCCTTTTTTCTGCTTCCAGAGATGTCGGGGCTGGCTGCTGTGAGTTACCCTCCGCCTCAGCTCTATGTACAATCTGGGCTTTCCCCTCCTGATTCGGGAACCTCTTCGACAAAATTCTTTTTAAAATGTTTAAAAGTTCATGAGCTTTCAGTATACAGACTGAAAACTTCCTTTCCCACTTGAGAGTTCCTGCACTTTTTTTTCTTCTTCCTTTTTCTTGTAAAGCCCTGTCTACAGTTATTTCGTAGGGGAGAGAGTTCTATTTGGAGGATCCTGTGTTGCGGGGGCTGAGTTGTAGCTTATGACATTGTGGTCAATGTTCCCTCTAAGCTGTGGGGTCTTGTGAGGAAAAATTCTACTTTGTGAGCTACTGGCACTAAAATCAGGAGTTAGCGTTTTGGCTCCTGCATAAATCAGTTTGCTCTGGAGCCATCCTTCCTGAGCCAAGACAAAAATGTGTGAGCCGGAGGCTAAAAAACTGTGAGCTAGCTCACACTAACTCAGCTTAGAGGGAACACTGATTGTGGTCCCATTCAACCCTGTGAGTCTGTAAATGCTGAACTACTGAGATCCCCGCCCCCTCCTCGGAGACGTAATTCTGGTGTCTTGACTTGACCCATTTCGTTTCTTTGTCTGCTCTGAAATAGCTCTTGAGTAGCTCCTTGGAGAACATTTGGAACGGACTGCTTGGGCTCCCTTTGTTCGTTGTACCAAGCTTCTTTCTCGACTTAACAACGCTTCAGACATTTCCCGCGGAAGTCCTCCCAGCTCCCTAGATGGCCTGGTGGGCTCTGGATGACTCCAGCTAGACTTCAGTTAGCACCTTCTCAAAGGGCAAAAAGGGGGTACCGCTAGATGGTCTCAGAACGGTCCCAGCTGCGTGCGTGGCATCTACAAGCTGGCCCCCCTTTCTCCATTCCACAGAGATCATGAATTGTTAAGCACATTCCAAAAACTGTCAGCCAGCTAATGAGGTTCTCTGTACTTCTATGTGTCCCCCACACCCAAGATCAATTCCTACCAAATAAGTGCTTCCAAATCTGCTTCGCTCTCTTTTTTTGCAAGTGTTACATTATCCGCCTTTCAAGTCTGTTTTGCTCAGGGGTCATTTCGGGGGGGAACGCAGTTCCCCCGGGTGAGGTGCAGGGGGGCGGGGCACATGACGAAGCCCCGCCCCCTGCTTCTGGCCGCCCCACTTCCAGCCCTCATTCAGCCAGGAGGAGGCAGGAGAAGAGGGAGGGTAAGTTGCTTCCTCCCCGCCTCTCCCCACCCCTGCCTGCCTGGGGCCAGGGAGGGCCTTGGCGGGGCTTCCTCGCACTCCCACTGGCCTTGCAGGTCCACCGCTGGGCCCCTGATGTCAGGGGGTGTGGCATATGCTAATGAGTTATGCTAATGAGTTCCCCTAGCTCTTTTTCTACGAAATGACCCCTCGTTTTGCTCAACATTTAAACTCAATATATCAAAGAAAATTAACATTTACAGTATCGCAGAGATAGATGCCTCTCTGTCTGAGCCTGTTAGGATGCCCCAGCATTTAGTGCCGCTCCCAGGTTGGATTTCCAGTGCAAAGCAGTAGGAGCTCCGACTTGCCGAGCTCACGGTTTCCATTCAAATTGGCTCCCCTTTGCTGCACAACAGCAAACACACAGCCTCCCTGTGGGAGTAGGTTGGACACGTTCTGAACTTGAGTCAGGAAAGACAAGTGAAAACGGTTTAGAACTGTTTGCTTCCAAGCTGCTTGCTGGGACGGGGAGAGATCCCTGCCCCAGGGGGAAATGTGGTGGTCTTGACCTAATCTCTTTTTATTTCATACAGAGCCCATCATGGAAATCAAGGCAGTGTATATAGGATCACTAGGAAGCCTGCCCTCCCCTCCCCCCATTCCTGGCACTAACCAGACTAGACCTGCTTAGTTGGAAGGTATATCATGTATACCTTCCAAACATACCAGGGCAGGGATCTCCAACATGGTGCCCGTGTGCACCTGCTGACACCTTTTCTGGCACCGGCCAAGTGTTTTTAGGAAGTTGGCGGGCCAGGTAGGGCTTTGTTTGTAGTGGTTAAGTGCACGGACTCTAATCTGGGAGAACCGGGTTTGATTCCCCACTCCTCCACTTGCACCTGCTGATGTGACCTTGGGTCAGTCACAAGCTCTGGCACAGCTGTCCTTGAAAAAGAGCAGTTTGTGTCAGAGTTCTCTCAGCCCCACCTACCTCACAGGGTGCCTGTTGTGGGGAGGGGAAGGGAAAGGGGTTTGTAAGCCGCTCTGAGACTCCGAGTGAAGGGCGGGGTATAAATCCAATCTCTTCTTCTTCTTCTCCTCCTCCTCCTCCTTCTCCTTCTGCCCAGCAAAGCTTCTGATTGTCTGTTGGAGATTTGATTGGTTGTGTAGATTTTTTTTTAAATGTCACTTTGGTGGCAGCTGCCACCACAGCCCAGGAATCAGCACTGTTTTACTGAAGTTAAACTATGGCAATCGTTTTGTGGCTGGCTCCTCCTCCTGTGGCAGCCATTTGATGGCAGCCATTTTCTTGCTGCGGCCACCACGCGTATCAGAATTACAAATGTGCCTGCAGGCTCAAAGGGGTCAGGAGCCCCTGTGATAGAAACATTTTTGTCTAATCTTAGATATGTAGACAAGTGGCATCCAAACTGGGGGCCAAGGACCCTGGGGGGCGTGGAGTTATTGCAAGGAGTCCACGAATCCCTATGCATACTAAACATTGTCATTTTGATCTTTTTGTCTTTATGCATTCTCTCAATCAATAGATACTTAATAGTACAATTGCTGTCACATGGGGGAGCCCTGCAAAATGTTTTGATGTTTAAAAGGGGTCCTTGTACTTAAGAAGGCTGTGAACCAGTGATGTCAAGGGTTACTTCCCTTATTGGCATTTGAGTCTTTATAGAAGGGGAAAAGATACTGTTTGAAGGATCTTGATTTGCCATGTGTTGGTTGTATATCTTAGGAAGTTCTTGTTCGCACCCAATGCTGTGTATCTGTACATGATCGAATGATCCAGATCTAGGGCAGTTAGAGCATCAGACTAGAATCTGGGAGATGTGGGTTCAAATCCCTGTTTGGACATGGAAGCTTGGGCCAATCATTCTCTCTCAGCCTCACCTTCCTCACAGGGTTATTGTGAGGATAAATGGAGGAGAAGAGGAGGAGGATGTAAGCCACTTTGAGTCTTCATGGGGGGGGGGGACAAGGTATAAATGAAATAAATAAATAGATCTGCTCCCCTATAGGAAACATGATTCTGGTGGGTTGTCCTGACCATTGTCCGTTGCGTATATTCTTAGGACTGAGGACCTCCTTTTGGAGCATGTGGACCAATGCTTCCTCTAAGCTGTGGAATCTTGTGAGCAAAAATTCTACTTGTGAGCTACTGGCATTAAAGTCGTGAGCGACAGATTTGGCTGCTGCATAAATTAGTTTGCTCTGGAGCCATCCTTTCTGAGCTAAGACAAACAATGTGTGAGCTGGAGGCTAAAAAACTGTGAGCTAGCTCACACTAAGTCAGCTTAGAGGGAACATTGCTTGGGACTGACTGTTCGGCCCTGTTCGGCCATATTAAACACAGTGCTAAACCTAAGCTGGTTCGGTTCCCCTTTCCCAGTCTCTACCGCAGAACAACAGATGAATGCTTACATGTCACCATGTTTATCAGGTTACCACGGTGTCCCCATAGTGCATGTCATCCTGCGAGTGGTGATCATTTTAGAGATATGGAAAATGCAGGGAAGCATTAACATCCTCCTTATCAATTGGCAAGATGGCACAGGGAGCCCATACTGATGACTTAACTACCCAGGGACAAACTCATACACTGTGGTTAAAATACCCCTTGGCAAA